GTGTGTGGTGTGATGTGTGTATATATGTGTGTGTGCTGTGTGTGGCATGTGTGTGTATATGTGTGGTGTGTATATGTGTGTGAGGTATGTCCAGGACATGTTAACATGTGTAAAGCCTTGGTTTTAAGCTCCAGGACACACAAAAAGACTACATTTCCCAGCCTTCTCTGTAGCTGATAGAGTCACATGATTGATGTGAAGAGAAGGATGGTGCAACCTCTAGGAAGTGTCCTTACAAGCAACAGGCATTGTCCTTCCCCTTCCTCCAGAAGCCATAACAGCTGGAGCTTCAGCAGCCACCTTGGACAATGAGGTGACCTTGGGCGTGAGAACCACATGTGGTGAAGCAACCCGCCTGCCCAAAGTTGGACGTGACGGGAAATGACCTGCCCTTGCTTCAGCCACAGCTGCTTGGAGTTTTACAGCTGCTAGAGTCACACCTTCAGATTTCTGGGGGCAAGGATTCTGTGTTCTTGCATGCACCGTCGCACAGCGCAGAGAACCCTCATGCTCATCCTCCTCCCGCAGACAATGGCCTCAGGAGGAATGAGATTCAGCCTGAGTACCATATAATACAGGGCTGAGGGCCCAGCGCCCACACAGCCTCTGCATCAACACCCACGTTCTCAGCATATAAAAGCCCTCCCTCCAGGACCCCTAAAGATGGCCTGGCTCCACACTGCCTGCTCCTTCTATGAGGGAAACAGCTCTTACCAGGATGTCTGTGTCCTCAGAGTCCTTCCCCGAGGCCAGGCTGGAGCAGTTGCGGAGTTTAAATGCCCAGTACTCCTTGGCAGTGACAAAAAAGTTCCAGGGCAGTAGGCCCCCAATCCCCAGGCTGAAGAAGATGATGTAGGCACCATTAAATCTGTCCTCTGGCCTCTGCAGGCCGGGGGCTGGGTAGTCTAGTTGTTTCCCCAGCAGGGCTTCCTGGTCAGCTTTTTGAGGACTGCTTGAGGCTCTGTAGATAGCATTTGAGCTGTGGTACACATTGTCCTCAGAATCAAAGGCCACTGTTGGAGAAGAGAAAGACACAGACAGGGCAGGTGAGCAGGCATCAAGGCTGGGGACTGACTAATACTAGAAGAAACCTCTAGTCCATGCTGGGTCTACCTTGTCCCCAAAGTCTGGTTGGAGGGTTTCAGGATTAGGAAGAAAGACAAAAATCAAACTAGAATAAAGACAGGCTATCAGAACTTAGGGACCTCAGAGGTCATCTCCATTCTGCAAGGACAACAGAGGCAACGCATAAGTATGGGGCAGGAAGTGTGAGTATCACTGCAGGTGTGGACTGAAGCAAGCAGTGAAGAAGGGAAAGCCTGGGCTAATGCAGTTACTTAGGAATCACAACCCTTGATGGGCAAGGGACTATTTGTGTGAAGTAGCAGGAAACACACATACTTTTGTGCTCAATGTATTTTGGAAGACACACAGGGGTCTTCCAACAGTGGGTGTCTTTGGAAGGAGGCTGGGATAGTGAGGTAGTTTCACTACTAATTCTTATTTTTGTGCCTTTTGAATATGAACAGTGTGTGTTAGCTGTTCAATCAAGTTAGGCCAGTTAGGCTTGTGTGTACCTGTAATCCAGTAGTACTCTGGAGGTAGAGGCAGGAAGATCAGTATTCAAGGTCAGCCTCTGCTACACAGAGTGTCCAAGAGCTAACCTGGACTAAGAGAGACCCTACCTCACAAAGAAACAACTGGAGTACTTCAATACCACAGTTACATCCAGTGCCTGAGCCACAACAGCCAGGTGTTAGGAACTAACCACAGATGAGAAATCTGAGGCTCAGAAAGATCAGGCCACAACAAAAAGAAATAAAGAAATAAAATAATGAGAAAAATCAAGCCACTTGTCTAGGTCACTGTGGCATGAAATAATACAATCAAGCTGTCTGGGGCCTACTAGGGATTCCCCTTCCCCATCCCCCAGGGATAGACTGGGAATGTGATTCTGTCTGCCGGTTCCAAATCCCTGCAGATCTCCCTCTTGAAGGCATCCCGCAGCAAGAAGCTATGAGCAGAGAAGCCCCAAGGGGACTGATCCTCATCAGCTCTGCTGAATGAATACTGCAAGGCCCAGACATCACCCCAGACTACTGCGGCAGCTGTGCCACAGAATAGGCAGGCAGCAAGTCCTACAGTGTTCTGTCTGGCTGAGCAGGGCCCCCTCAATACCCTTAACTCACATGAAAACCAAAGATGACCATCTAGCCAGACAGGGCATGATGGAGGTATGCACGCACGCTTAAAATTATTATTGAAAAAAAATGTAACAGGAGCTGGATAGATGTCTCATCAGTTAAGAGCACTTGCTGTTCTTTCAAAGGACCTGAATTCAGTTCCCAGCACCCAAGGCAAGTATCGAAAATACCTGTAACTCCAGCTCTAGGGGATTCAATGCCCTCTTATAGTATCTTCGGGCACCTGAAAAAAACTTGCACATACCCACACAAAGGCACACATATATACACTTAATTTTTTTTTTTTTAAATATAAAAGATAACCATGAACCACAGAGGTCACCAGAGAACTGGCAAGGAGCTGTTCCCAGATGTTCAGGCTAGGAGGCTGGGTGCAGGGCCCAGCGTGGGTCACCCAGACCCACACAGGGCAGGAGCCCCTTCTCAGCTGCTGTGTCTATTCATCAAGGACCATTCAGCCTTGACCAAGCATCTAAAGTCGCCAGGGATCCTTTCTAACTGGGTCACGGGCGGTGCAACGGACTGAGCGAAGCCTTATTACTCTTTATAAAAGGTAGCTGTGGCTTTGGATGAATAGAGAAAGACAAAGAAAGTAGGAGAGAGCTTCCCCAGGCCAGGCTGCCCCTGCCCCTTCCTGGAGTGCTGGGTTAAGGGCCAGTCGGAGCTGGAAAGGGTGGGAGGCTGGGGACTGAGAAGATGCCTGACCAGTCCTTGTGCCTCACTGGCGCGGACCGGGGATGAAGAGCCAGCCTGACAGTAGGCTGCTGCGGCAAGTCCTCTCCGCAGAGACAGCTGTGGCACCGGATCTGGACCCGCAAAGCCTTCTGGATCCTTCGAGCTGTCCTGTCCCTAGAGCAGGACCAGAAAGCGAGGCGGAGAGGCCAGGGTCAGCCTCAGGAGGGGGAGACCCAGCCAAGCATGGGGGCCACCGCGCCCGCACTTACTGTCGATGCCGCTGCTACCTCCACCAGGTCCGGGGCTCCGGGCCACTGCGGCTGGGGCTCAGCCAGGCCGGGCTCCGCCCTTGCCCTCCCAGCCCCGCCCCCTTCTCAGCTTTCCCCGCCCCGCCCAGCGCTTCCGGGTTTGTTGACACCTCCTACCAGGCCTCCCCACAAAACACACGCCCCCGCCTGGCGCACAGCAGCAACTGCAGACGTCCATTCGCAAAGTGCATGCAGGAAGTGAGGCTGGGGCCAGTTCCTACCCCGCCTCCCTGTTATTACTTACCGCCGGAGCGCTGGGAGAGTTCTCTTCCCCAAGCCTCATTCCCTGGGGTGCTCCACCACTCTCTGATCCCGCCAATACTTCCAGAGCAGGATGCACCCCTCAAGGATGACCTTGGCCTCCCAGCCTAGGTGGTAGAGAGCTATTTGGTGGTAGTGGTAGTGCGAGCGAGGCCAACTCGTGGGCTCAGTGCAGGTGGGCGTGTGAAGGGGCAATCCAGATGCCAAACCTGCAGAAGAGAACACGGCAGAGTGAGACCTAAGGAGCAGACCTGCTTTGGTTTGCTTTGTTTTCTTTTTGAAGAAAAAAAAAAGTGGGGAACCGAAGGAAACTCACCAGAGTGACAAAAGTCTTCCGGGTGCTCTTTCCACCCAAGCCCTCACCAGCTGGGCGACCTGGAGCAAGACTCTTCCTCCACTGCCCTGCAGGGGGCGTGGACATGGAGAGGCTCACTACCACCGCACTTGAGAGGATCTGGGGTTCAGGCCCACGTCAACTACACAGTGAGCTTGATGCCACCCCAGGCTGCTTGAGAGCCTGGCAGGGCTGAGAAGGTGGGGTACATGTCTGTGGTCGCCTTACAGATCATCTGAGGAAAGGAGTTGGCTGCTGTCCTGGTCTAGACCAGAGAAAGGGTGAGCATAAGCAAGGCTGGTGTGGGCCAGTCCCACTGGAGCCTGAGTTTAGTGGGCCAAACAGGGGTCTTTTAATAAGTGTGTGTATGTGGGGGAGGGGGGACCAGAATTTTCTCTATGCTTCATGGTTCCTACTTGGCAAAGGATCCCTAACCCCAAAGACAGACAAAAAACAATAGGCCTTTAATAATGTGCAGCACAGACACATACACATGCATACTCACATACACACACGCACACTTACATGAACACTCATCTATATATATGCGCCCATGCACACACACAAATATACACGTATATACACACATCACACATGCATACTCACATACACACATGTACACACATACCCACTCATACACACACACACACACACACAATCACACATACACACACGAGTGAGGTTCAAAAAATTAGTATGTCTCAAAAATATTTATCTTCAGGCTTAAATACCATCCTCAACTGCAAGTGAAGAAGTGGGAACTGGAATGTGGCTCTGTGGTAGAGCAGAAGCTAGCATGCTCCAGACTCTGGGCATATCCTCTAGAGGGCACAGAGTGGACAAGGGCAGGTTGGCATCAGAAAAAGCCAGCAAACAAGAGGGTAGCCTGAGCAGTTCTCCTTATCTCCCTGTGTCATCTGCTGTAATAAAGCGCTGAGTAAAACCAACTTGAGGGGGGAGGGGTTAATTTCATCTCAGAGCTTCAATGAGGGGAATCAGAGCAGAAACTAAAGACAAGAAGCTGGAAGCAAGAACTAAAGCAGACACCAGGAAGAAACTGAGGCTTACAGGACTTGCTCTCAGTAGCTTGCTCAGTCTCTCTCTGTCTGTCTGTCTGTCTCTCTCTCTCTCTCTCTCTCTCTCTGTGTGTGTGTGTGTGGTTTTTCAAGACAGAGTTTCTCTGTGTAGCCTTGACTGTCCTGTAACTCTGTAAACCAGGCTGGCCTTGAACTCAGAGTTCCATCTTCCTATGACTCCTGAGTGCTGGGATTAAAGGCATATGCCACCACTGCCTTGTGCAGTCTTCTTTCTTATACAACTGAAAACCATCTGCCAGGGGTGGCCCCGCCCAGAGTGGACTGGGCTCCCCACATCAATCATTAATCAAGAAAATGCCCGGCAAGCCAATCTGACGGTGGCCATCCCTCAACAGAGCCCCTCTCTACAGATCTTTTTGGGTTTGTATCAAGTTGACAAAAACTAACCAGCCCACTGAGAATGGCGAGGGATACTCTTCCACACAGAGGCTTCTTTACAGCTGCCAAAGGGCAGCTTTTCTTACCATGTGTCTTAAGGAGAGTTACTATTGCTGTGATGAAACACCATCACCAAAGCAACCTGTAGAGGGAAAAGGGTTTATTTGGCTTGCACTTCCACATCACAGTTCATTGACAAGGAAGTCAGGACAAGAACTCAAGCAGGGCAGGAACCTGGAGGCAGGAGCTGATACAGAGGCTACAGAGGGGCACTGCTTACTGGCTTGCTCAGCCAGCTTTCTTGTAGGACCCAGCAGCCTAGGGATAGCACCACCCACAGTGGGCTGGGCCTTCCCCATCATTTACTAATTGAGAAAATACCCCACAGGCTTGCCTACAACCTAATCTTATGTAGGCATTTTCTCAATTGGGGCTCCCCTTTCTCAGATGACTGTAGCTTGTGTCAAGTTGACATAAAACTATCCAGTATGCCATGTGTCTTCAGCTTCTCAAAGTAACCCTTATTGGGAAAGGGCATTATTTGGTGTGGCTGGTTCTGGTCTGCTGTCCTAGTTTGGGATAGCCTGTCCTTGCCCCATTAGTGTCTGTGCATAGGGTAGCCATAGTTTCTGCTCTGAGGGCTTACACTCCTGGGGTGAAGCTGGGGTACCTTGGACATTGCAGCTGAGGAGTGACTATGACAGTTGCTACTGAGGCACAAGTATTGTCAGACCAAGGGATAAATTTGTAACATTCTGGCCTCTTTGTTCTTACTTGCCTGAGGAAAAGGGAAGAGGAGGAGAAAGATGAGAAGAGGAGAGCGGGGTGTCTTAGGGTTATCACTGTGACAAACCATGAAACACCATGACCAGAGCGACCTGGGGAGGAAATGGCTTGTTTGGCTTAGGCTTCCACATCACAGTTCATCAAGGAAGTCGTGACAAGAACTGAACCAGGGCAGGAACCAGGAGACAGGAGCTGATGCTGAGCCATGGAGGGGTGCTGCTAACTGGCTTGCTCCTCATGACTTGCTCAGCCTGCTTTCTTATGGAACAGAGGACCACCAGCCCACACAAATAATTAATCAATCATTAATTTTAAAAATGCCTCAGGACTGGATCTTTTGGAGGCCTTTTCTCAATCGAGACTCCCTTCTTTCAGATAACTCTAGCTTATGCCAAGTTGACATAAAACTAGCCAGCACAGAGGGGAATGCAGGAGACTGTCTTAGTTTACTTTCTATTGCTGTGATAAACACCAGGACCAAAAACAATTTGTGAAAGAATGGCTTACAGGCCCAGTCACACAGTCTGTACGAAGGAAAGCCAGGGCAGAAACTCAAGAGGCAGGAACTTCTGGAAGCAGGAGTTGCCTTCTGGTTTGCTCAGCTTGCTTTTAATACAACCCAAGACCACCTACAAGGCATGGTATTGTCCCCAGTGGACCAACCATTAATCGAGAAAATGCTCCATAGACTACAAGCCAGTCTAATGGAGGAATTTTCTCAGCTCAGGTTCCCTTTTCCCAGATGACTCTAGCTTGTTTCAAGTTAACAAAAACTAACCCATAGAGGCAGTGATGGAAAGGTTGAGTGGGCCCATGAAAAAGTATTTGGTCCCTCATCTACCAAGACTGGAGGTCTACAAGCTCTCCTTTTTCTGTTCTTGCCAGATCTCTTAATTTACTTTTCTGTTCTTGTGCTAAAACACTTTGGGCAAAAGCACCTTGAGGGAGAAAGGGCTTGTTTTAGCTCACAGGTCCTCTTACTGTCCATTCTGCAGGAAAGTCAAGGCAGCATGAGCATGAAGCAGCACATTGCATTACATCTGAAGTCAGCAGAGAGACATGCAAGTATGCAGGCTTGTGCTCAGCCTGCTTTCTCCATCTTTATACAGTTCAAGATTTCCCTGGGTAAGGAATGGTGCTGCTCATAGTGGGCACTTCAATGAGTGTGGTTAAATAATGCATCACAAACATGGCCAGAGGCCCACTTGCTAGGATTCTAATTTCTGTGCAGTTAACAATGAACAGTGATCATTACACATAGAGTCTCTGTTTTGTTTTGCTTTGTTTTTCAGCTGTATGGTCTCTTCCCACAACCGGTCAATGCAGAGAATAAGAGACAGTGGGAAGTCTGTATCACACCCTTCCCTCTGAGAAAGATCACTGAAAGAGGTGGGACTATTATAAAAGTCAGAGGTAGTGAATGACTGTGAGGACACACTGTTTGGGGGCACAACAGGGAGCTGCACATAGGAACTCACAGGGGTTATGATAGCATGCATAAGACCTGAGCAAACTTAAGCCAGACAAAATCCCAGCATGGAGGGGGTAGGCAGGCAGGAAGTTCCACCCCTATGGGAAGAGCTATTGCCATTTGATAGCTGCTAGGAGAGGAAGAGTCAGTTTTCTTTAAGAGTGTGACCCCTGGTAGGTTGATCACTCTCCAGGGCAGGCAACACACCCAGGAGAATTTATACAACACAAATCAATCTCTCTCTCTCTCTCTCTCTCTCTCTCTCTCTCTCTCTCTCTGTCACACACACACACACACACACACACACACACACACACACACACACACAAGAGCACACAGGAGCCAGAGAGTACAAGTTGGTTAGACAGGAAGTTGGAGTGAAGCTGGGGGGGGGGTGAGAATTGAGGGGGAATATGATCAAATACAGTCTATAAAATTGTTTAAAAAATTAATAAAATTATTAAAATTTTAAGTTCACAAAAGAAATTGTGTATACATTTTCAAAGCTTTCCTTGTCCTAAAAACAAAACAAAAAGGACAGGGTCTTCCCACCTGCTCCATCCGCCTTCCCTCAGGTGCAGGGAGTACCTTCTTGGGAGTAAGCCTGGCTGACTCAAGCGTGTCCATCATGGTGTACCGGTAGATGCTGCCATCTTGTGGTCATTTCCTGCCACTGCAAAGCTCCTGGTTTAGGCTCACCAATCTGATTTTCTTCAGGGTTGCAGAGGTCCCTGACAGGACACTTGCACTTCTAATATTGCTACAATAACTAGTTCTAATCCAAATCCCTCACAGTCACCTCTGCTTAATATGTGCTGGTTCATCAGCTCCCTCGAAAGTTCTGACCTTTAGGGGCATCTGGTTCTTAAGACCTCTGTCCCTGCTCCACAGGTGGGATACCCCTTTACTTTTAACCTGAGTCTGCTTAGAAACCAAGGTCTTAATAACACCATAAACACCCCTATCTCTGCTTTCCTGGTGCCCTGGGCAGCTCACTTCGACCCAGTTTAAGAGTGTCTCTGGAGAGCCACCAGCAGTTGTGTGGATCCACTAGAATCCACGACCACCAGGCCAAGCCAGGTCTTCCTAGCATCCCCCACACACCACAGCTTCTCCTTCACCTGCTTCAAGCTCCAGAACCACATCCCACTGGAACGGTCTGCCCTCTGCCCCACTTTACAGAAAAGATCAAAATGACCAACTAGGGGTGTTCATCCATTCCCAATTCTGCATTCTGCATTTGCAATGAGAAAGTTCCCCTATCACTGCCTCCTTAGTCTGGTCCTCTGCTGCTCTCCCAAGGGCCCACTCCCTTACCCCACCCCATTTTTTTTTTCCTCAAGCCTCCTGGACCCACTGACCTTTCTCTTTCTCACACTCTCCATCCCATCCCCTATGTTGCTTTCTGGTCTCTCATGCTCCAGCTTCCCATGGAATTATAATTCACATAGAGATCTGTATGTGAATGAGTGCACATGATAACAACCACACCACCCACATCCTGGCAAGCAGCCTGTGCTAAGATAAGCTGTGCCAAGATACTGGGCAAGCGGGACACGGTGGTACACACCGGTAATCCCAGCACTAGGGAGGCAGAGGCAGGTGGATCTGTGAGTTAGAGGCCAGCCTAGTCTACAAAGCAAGTCCAGGATAACCAAGGCTACACAGAGAAACCCTGTCTTGAAAAAAACCAAGCCAAACAAACAAACAAAAAGTACTGGGCAGAAGGAACTTACTGGAGGGCCTTTCTTGGCTCACAGTTTTATGGCTCACAGTCCATCATGGCAGGATAAGTGTGAGGCAGTTGGTCATACGGCATGCCTGATCAGGGGCAGAGTGAAATGAATGCTGCCTGGCCAGAGACCCCAGTTCATGAGACAGTGCTAACCATATTCTGCTGGCCTTCCTTCGCTTCGATTAGTCTCGATGAGCCTTCACAAACAGCCCACACACTTGTCTCATCTGTCAAGATGAGACTCGATATTAACCATCACAAAACTGAGCACTACCTGTACCGCAGAAGGCCTTCTCTTCTGCTCGCTAAAGCTTAAAGTGAACGCCTTCTACAAGCTGCGGTGCATAGTGCTTATCATAGCGCGGTGGCGTGTAGGCTGCACAACAGTCTCTGCCCTGTGGTTTCTGCAGCATCACCAGGGAGGTTCAAAGGCTGAGCTTCCAATTGCCTCCCTTACCTGTTTGTGTGTCTGACTGGTGGTGCTGGCTGTCCTTGGGACCTGAGCTGGAGTCCCTGACCACAGCACAAGCAGCTTCTTGCTGTGACTTCATGGGCTTTGTTGCATTATGGTGATGTCTCTGAGGGTGAGCATCTTTTTGTGACTCAGGAATTATCCAAGGTGGATTATCTGGAGGCTGACCTCTGTGACCCTCCCTTCCCCCTGGGGATCATAAGGCATGAGGGGGTGGGGAGCAGAGGTGAGGGAGGGAACAGGGTTTGAATGCTCTTGTGTATGATGAAGTGACTTCCAGGACCAGCTTCAGGGAGACAGCTCAGCTTTATTCAGGGTGAACAAAGGCCATATAGTTCTTGGGGAGTGGGTGGAGGGTTTCCAGGATAGGCCTAGATTATTGGCTAAGGCTTGATGTGCCTGCTTTATTTATATACCAGGAATTCCAGATTCTTGTCAGGCAGGTTCTTATCAGGAAAAAGGAAATTGAACCTGCATTTTGGCCATGTGATGTGTGACTTCCTTCAGGGGCTAGGGTCCTGCTTAGAGACATTCTTCAAATGACTCCACACAGAAGGAACAATCCCCCTGCTGGAAAAGGGAGTCCTCTCTTCTGTGCCAAGCTCAGGAGAGCTGTCTCGAAACGGCAGGTCTGTGACCTTAAATATCAGGGTCTTCCAACATCACCCTTGTTTTATTTTATAAGGGAGAAGTATCATCATAGTTTTCCAGAGCCTGAGGCAAGGAGCAAGCATCAAAACAAAACATAACATAAATAGGGGGCTAGTAAGGGGTAGAAGCTAGGACAACAAGGGTTTATTGAACCAATTTAATTATTTAGTGGGTTGAAATCTCGAGAGCAGGTTACTACAAGTTTTTTTGAGGGTTTTAACGTTAGTCTTAACAACATTTGACTCATTCACACAAAAGCAACATACCATGCAAAACCATGCAAATCCCCGCCCCCCCATTTAGGCAGTTATTAGGTCTAGTGCTCTTCTGTTTTGAAACATAATCCAAGCAAGAGAGTTCATCTGTCAATGGAGGGATTCAGGGATGTTGGGGATGGTCAAGGTTGTCCCTAAAGTCTCCAGCCAGTTGGTATGTCTGGACAATGGCTGTTCCCACGGTCCCATCAGGTCCAAGGTCCAGGGAGGAGATGGGCCTGTGAAATAGCGGGGGGGGGGGTGCGGAACCCTGGCAGGGATGTTTATGCAGAGGTTATTTTTCCTTTACACCAGAAGAAGAAAATTGATTACACAAGACACGGAAGTGTTAGAAACTAAGTCCCTGGGATTAATTTCGCTTTTACAAAGGAAATACATTAGTTTGGAGATTGTTGACGACTAGGGTGTGTTATTATTAGAAATGACATGATGGCAATATACAATTTTTTTTTCTAGAATAGACAGTAACAGTTTGTGAAAAATAAACTGGCTTGAGTAAATGGTCTTATCTCTATTAATTGAAGACTAAAATAATAAAAAAAATAAAAGAGGGAAAATAGATCTCCTAATTAATTTTTGTAGTGATTTTATATTGTGATAACACATTAGATATATTGGAAAATAAAAAGGAAATGTTAAAATGTTAGTTTCATATAGTTGTTGGTGTAGTCGGTTTGACCTATGAGCAGTGGATCCAAGATGATTCTCTGAAATATAAGATAATTTTCTGTTTATAAAAGGAGATAAATTGTAGGCATGTCAGCATTGTCATTGTTTGTAATCTGTATTGAAATCTATATTGTAGAAAAATGCCGTAGACACTAAACAACATTTTTGTTATTTCTGTTATTAGGAAAAAGCAAACATTTAAACAAAAAAGAATAGTTATTTTTGTTGCTAGGAGAGCACAAACACTTAAACAAATTTTCTTTTAGTTATTCCTGTTATTAGGGAAAAAGAAACATTTAAACAAAATTCAAAGAAGCATGAAAATTCTAAGTTTTGGGTGAGTTGCATCTTAGGCTGTAGCAGCAAAACTCCGCCCATCGTTCTTGTAATTCAGGTTTTGCAGCTCTGTTTCAGCTGAGCTGCCAGGCAACAAAGATCTGCAGTCAGTCTGCCTAAAGGAATTGTGTCCACGGTCTGGCGGGCCCTTACCGCTCAGGGGCCCACCACGTGTGGCCTGGGGAGGGAAAGGCCCACCCCGCCCCCCGACACCACCCGCTCCCCAGCGTCGGTGCCCGCTGGGCAGGTTCCTCTCCATCCCGTGCGTGTGCCTTGGCAGTGCGCTGGTCCCTGGCTGAGGCAACCGTCCCTGTGGGAGGGTTGCATTTCTCTGAGTGCCCAAACCCCGGAAAGTAGACAGGGAAAGGAAGGCAGACTCGGAATGTGCGGGCGGATCCGGAAGTGGAGTCGCGTGAGCCAGAGTGGGGCGATTCCACCTCAAGCTGCGCAGAGCTGTCCTGGCAGGGCAGGACTGCGATCTTAAACAGTAGGGTCTTCTAACAGACCTCCAACTCAAGACATGGCCAAGAATGGCTTCGAACTCTAAATCCTCACGTGCTGCGATTACACGGCCAGGTCATTTTGGAAGGAATTTTCAGCAAACTGAGAAACTGTTATTAGAGATCCCAAAACACTTCAGTGCTACCACCTCTGCCAGGTCTGTGTCAGCGCTCTGTTGCCGTTTAACGCTACGGTATTTGAGGACTCGCGTGAGGCTCCTTTTCGGGTTGTCCCAGCCGCTGGTGTTTCTATGCGGTGCACTTCCCACTGGCCCTTATCCAGCCCTCCCCCGCCTGTCTCCACCGGCAAGCATTTCTGTTTCTATCAGGGCAGTCTGTTAGCCTTTAGAAGGCTAGCTTCCAGGGTCCGCAGATAACGCAGGGGGAAGTTTGCGAACCTGCGTAGGAGGTGAATGGAGAGAACAGCTCCAAAAAGCTGTCCTCTGACCTACACATGCGGTGTGTGCTCTCTCTCTCAGACACGTTGATACTATACATGTATACACATTTATTTTTTTAAGAATCTTTTAAAATATAATTTATCATTTTTAAACTTTATGTGCATTGGTGTTTTGCCTGCATGTATGTCTGTGGAATTAAAGACAATTGTGAGCTGCCATGTGGGTGCTAGGTATTGAACCCAGGTCCTCTGGAAGAGCAGTCAGTGCTCTTAACCACTGAGCCATCTCTCCAGCCCCTAAATACATTAAAAAAAAAAAAAAAAAAAAAAAAAAAAAAAAAAAAAAAAAAAAAAAACAAAAAAAAAAAAAAAAAAAAAAAAAAAAAAAAAAAAAAAAAAAAAAAACACCCTTTTCCCAGAGTCTGGAATTTCAAGTTGGTTTTCTTTTCATTTTATGAATGTTAATTCTCCACCATTTGCTTCCAATGTTGATTTCTGTTCTACAGCTCTAAGTCTCGCTACTATTTCCATTTCAGACCAGAGGATGGCGCGCCTGAGCTGCCTTTAAAAAACAACAAACAAACAAGAAACAACAACAAAAAGCAGGCCAGGGTCCCTGGGTGGCTGTCATAAACATCAGGCACGGTGGAGCTTTTGAGCAACAGAGCCTTCTTGTTCGAACTGTATCGGCCTTAGGGCGCCATCTGGTGGTTAGGTTTTTATTGTTCCTGTGGCGAGTTGGCCGGAAGTGACTTAGCCTGAGTACCCAGGGCCAGGTGTTCCAGGAGGCCGGAGAACCTCTCCTTCAGGCTGAAGTCCATACCAAGCCCTACCGCCTCTGGTCTACTGGGGCTTGGTGGCGGAGACCATAGAGATGAGCATCTGTTGCAGTTTTGCCAAGGTGGAGCCCGGCTGCTAAGAGAGAAAGACCTGCTGCCACTCATCTCCTGGACATGCTACTGCTGTTTCCCTTGTTTCCAGAGGCACGACGGCTTTAGCCTCAGTCTAGGTATCAAGTTCTGAGGCCAGCTTCTGTGACGTAGAGTTAATGGTGGGTTGGGGCTCACTCCCTGTGCCCCCAGGATATGTCCACCTGCCTGCCAGATAATAAATTCCTCTTGAATTTCCAGACCAAAGACTTTCACTCCGGAGCAGGAACGAACGTGGCTGTCTGAGGTCTTGGCTGCCCAGGTAGTGAGAGCAGGCCAAGTGGGTGCGTGTGCACACACTATGTGCCTGCTCCCTATTAGACCATGGACACCCAGAGGACCCACGGACTCCCCTTTGCTTTGGTAACTTCTCGCCTCAGACCGGCCTTGCTTGCTCTCCACACTAAAAGATGGCCCTAGAGCCAGCCACAGCTGCTGGGGAACTAGAGCTGGCAAGGCCCATAGGAGCCTCACCTTTGAGGCTTAGAAGACTCATGGCTGGAGTTACCCTGTATTAACATAAGTTTCAGACCCTTAACCGTGTGGTGGGCATTGTGATCCTCCATAACCGGACCAAGGACTTTCACTAAAAACCCCAGAGACTGAGCTAGGCGTAGTGTCACACGCCAGTAATCCCAGCACTCAGGGAGGTAAAGGCTACACAGAGAAACCCTGTCTTTTCTTTTTTAAAAGATTTATTTATTTTATGCATGAGTGCTCTAGCTGCATGAACACATGCATGCCAGCAGAGGGCATCAGATCCCAGTATAGATGGTTGTGAACCACCATGTGGTTGCTGAAAATTGAATTCAGGACCTCTGGAAAAGCAGACAGTGCTCTTAACCACTGAGCCATCTCTCCAGTCCCAAGAAGCCCTATCTTGAAAAACCAAAAAAGACTGGAGACAACACAGCTTGGGAACCAGGAAGTGCCAACCAGACCCAACTTGCAAATGGAGGCCTGAGATCCACAGGGTTACGGGAAACAGCTCAAATAGTCAGTCATGAAAATTGCAGTGTACACATCTCCACCCAGAGTTGTCCATCTGCAGGAAAACTGACACAGGTCTGTTGATCAGGTCACCAGCTGGGGGACTCCTGCAGCATGCTGTCTGTCATCTGTGTGGGAACGATGCACCCACCCTCTCAGCAGTGGTATTTGTCTGCGGTGTAAACCGCTGAGCTGTGCCTGGTCCCCAACCACAAACTCCCAATGTGCTCCTGTCATTCTTGTCCTACCTGTACAGCATCCAGCTGACCACTCAGCCTCAGTTGGGGCACATCCTACTGAGTGTGAAGGCAAATGGGTACCCATCTTACTCCATCTTCCCTCCCACCTATACTCTGTGCTTGAAGCCCTGGCTGGTGAGCAAGGCGAGATCAAGGGGACTTAACTTGCTGTGCAACTGTCAGGAAACCCATTTCCCTCTTGACCTATTTTCCCTTCTATGGGATGAGGTTGTTGAGCAGGATCAAAGGTCGGGGCTCTGCACTGCTGTGGAAATATGGGAAACACAGGACAGTCAGTCTCAACACACTAAAAGACACATGAGACCAGGACCTGGATTTTTTTATTAGACTAGGAAATATAATTTATTTCATAAAAATTAATCTCCTTACAAGAGGAATGCTAAAGGCTATTTACAGGTTGTTTACAGAATGGGTGGGGCTGGGGCTGTCCCCACAGACACAGAGCCACATTCACCCCCCTGCATCCAAGCTCCCAGCCACCTCCCCTCTGAGGGTAGGTGGAAGGGGCTGACTCAGATGCCTGGGAGCTTCAAGATGGGGACCAGAGGGCCCTGGAAGATCCAGGGATGAGGAGGGTTCCCATCCCTCAGGAGGTGTCTGCCCAGAGCTCAGAAGCCTGGGCCCCATTGAGAGAGGGCAGGAGAGGCACATAGGAGATACACTGACTGACCCTGTGACTGGGGACAGCAAACAGGCATGCCCACCTCCAGTGGCACAAGTCTGGGCAGAGGCCATGTCCACAAGTGGGGGGACAGGTGTGTGAGTCCTGGGAGGGGTGTCCTGATGTGGCCACGTTGAAAAGCACAGGTATACACGCGCGTCTGCGTGCGTACACACACACACACACACACACACACACACACACACACACACACACATGATGACATACAAATACCCTGCAGAACCGGGGGCAACACCAAGCTGGTCAGGGATGGGAAGGGGAGGCTCCATCTCACTGGAGGCAGGAGTGGGAAACCCAACCCAAACAGCCCCGGCTCAGCCCAGAGTGGGCAGACACCCTCTAGGCTGTTGCTACCAAACTGTCCAATTGAGCCCTACCCCAGGATCCAGCTGCAGCCTCTATGCCCCAGATGCTGGCACCTTCTAAAAGTCAAGCTGTAAACTGGGACCCACTCACTGAGTACTCCCATCAGGGCCCAGACAGGCAGGTTTCTGAGGATGGGCAAAGGAGAACATGCAGACCATAATCAGCTTTTCCCTACTTGATTCCCATTTGAAGCCCTGAAAAGTGTGGGAACCCAAGCGGCCTCATGGAGCATCCCAGAATAAAAAGGACACTGAAGCCTGGAGAACACAGTCATGTGCCTGAAGTCACAAAGCACAGCTACAACTTTGTTCCTGGTCGCCCCTTATGCACATGGGCTAATGGTGACCAGCAAGACTATGCCCACAAGAATGGGCATCTTTGGCAGGAAGAGCTGAGGGACACTTCCGTCTCAGTCTCAGAGGCCCACCTCAGGGGAGGCGGCAGGAAAACCAGGGCTTGCTGGGTCTGTGACCATGAAACCTGCTCCTTCTCAGAGGCCCTAACTTTTAAAGCTCAGGACATGCCCAGGCTAGTCTCAATGGCAGTTCAGGGAAGTTTTAGGGCAAGCCTGACTCTGGAATCAATACCCCTTCAATAGGACCTCTGCGCCTACAGTGAGGTCCTGGTCTCTGTCACTGCCTGTGGGCTAACGGGACAAGGATTCATCCCTTCCACCTGTGGCCCTGTGGAACATCCCAGAACAGGCTGTGGCCAAGAGCAGGTACAACTATCTACTTAAAATGGCTACCTTCAAATCTCCTGACCCCAGCAGGAGGATGAGCGGGTAAACTGAGGACTAGAGGTGCAGGGGTGTAGACTGACGAGTGCCAGCCTAGACACAAAGCCATCCCTGGAGGACCTCCTCCGTCTCAGTAAGAGTCTTACCTCTGGGCCACATCTCTAGGCCAGGAATCACCAGAGTAAGACTGACCTGAACAGTCTCCCTGGGTCACAGTTGGACTGGGCCTCATTTTGACTCTCCGAAACCCAAGGACACAGAAGGGCATCTACCCAGGGCTCTAGAGAGTGGGAGAACAGCCAGGCCCCAGCCTCTGCTTGTAATTTTAGAACTCAGTGCCATGGCTAAAACAGCACAGCCGAGGAAACTGAGGCCTTGTCAGAGCAAAGCATTCCCCTGTGCAGTCTCTTACTGATCACACCTATTCCTGCACGCACTTGTGCACACATGTGGCTATGCACTCGTCTATGGCCCAAATCACAAGCATACCTACTCCTGACCACACTCAAGAATAAAAGTCTTTTTCTTTTCTTTCTTTCCTTTTTTTTTTCTTTTTCTTTTTTTCTTAAAAAGGACCTATCCAAGTATCTGGATAATAAATCATTTGCGTTTCCTAAGAAACTGGGTTTTTCTCTTCCCTTACGTGTTTTTTTTTTTTTTTTTTTTGCGTTCTCATTGCCTGAGTCACAGACTTCTGAAGCTCCTGTTTTCTTTTCTTTTCTTTCTTTCTTTCTTTCTTTCTTTCTTTCTTTCTTTCTTTCTTTCTTTCTTTCTTTCTCTCTCTCTCTCTTTCTTTCTTTCTTTCTCTCTTTCTTTCACTTGTAGAAAGCAGTTTGTCTGATCTGAACCTATCAAAGGACCAGAGATAGGAGAGAGGTTCCTAGCTGAGGACGCTGTGAACACAGAATTAAAACCTGTGGCCCCCAAAGTCACAGGACTGAAGGTGGAGTGTTGTGGGGGAAAAGCCTCTGGCCTTCAGCTGCCCTGGAGGCCTCAGCACACCCCAGGGTGAGCCAGGGAAACAGTGGGACAGAGGATCCCGGCCTCTCGGCAGTAGAGCACAGAGATTTTCTAAGGCTGGTGGTGGTCTGAAGGTTGCGGCAGGGAGGGTGGGTGAGGGACCATTCCAGCTGTGAGCCAGGGATGGCAGAGGCTGGATACCCCCATGGAGAGGCTGCCAGGCCTTCTTGCACTGTCTTCTACTGGTCCCTGCAGGCCTGTTGGTCACAGGCACTCAACAGTCCCCATCAGTGGCCATAGCCAACAGCATCTCGCTCTTGCCCATCTCCTCCAAGGCACTGGCCAGGCTGTTGAGGTCCCCGTCATCTTGCTGCCGAGCTTCCCAGAGGTCTAAGATTACGCCTGTGGGACTAGCTTTGGTGGCGAAGTAATTCAGGTACCTATTGAGAGGAAAGAGAAATGTTGGCTTCCTTGACGTGATCACAGGCTTCCCTGCGAGTTGGGAAGACTCACAGCCTTGGGTCTGAACCCCATGTCCCCCAGTTGTAGGCTATGCAGCCCTACGCAAGTCAGTGCACTGTCTAGGGCTCATCCCATCTCCCAATCTCCTACAAGCAAGGTTTAGAGGTGGGACTCTGAGCAGGTGCCTGCATCATGAGCGTCTGCCTTCACCAACAGATAAACCCATGGAGGGGCTCAGAATCTGAATAAGGGCTGGCAAGATAGTTCTGTAGGTAAAAGTGAGTTCACATCGCTGGAGCCAACATGAAAGCCATATGCATAGCACAAATGTCTCCAATCCCAGTGTTCCTTGAGGACTCCACTTCGGGGAGATGGGAGGCAGAGACAGGAGAGTTCCTGGAAGCTCCTGGCTAGCTATCTTGGCACACAGGGCAGAAGAGCAAAGAGACCCTGTTTTAAAACAAGTGGAGGGTGAAGCATCACACCGAGGTTGTCCTCTGACCTCCGCACATGTTCCATGCAGAGCGTGCTGCATACACACACATCCTAAACACACACATGTGACATCCAAATAGACTGTTGCCAAGGGGTGGACCTAGGGAAGATGGGGCACAGTGGGAGGAGAATGGTCACTGGGGCGTGTCTCGCCCTGGCCCTTCCATTCCGCTTCTGGAGTGACTCTGCTCCATCATAGCCTCCAGCCACAATGGTCAGCTTTGCTTCTATGCACAGCATAGAAGT